TCAAACTCCTTCGTTAGGCTTCCATTAACAAGAACCGAGACCCTTGTTGTGACAAAACACTCCTTAATCCACCCTCTCCATTTAATCCCGAAGCCAAACCTATCCATCATCCAATCCAAAAATGACCAATCACCACAATCATATGCTTTTTCAAAATCTGCCTTGAAAATAAAAGCCTGTTGCTTTTGCTTTTTAGCTTCATCCACCACTTCATTCAAAATTAAAACAGTATCAACCAATGGGCGTCCCCCACAAAAGCAGATTGAGACTCAGTAATAATCTTGGACATGACATTCGTCAGCTTGTTAGCTAACACCTTTGCTAACAATTTATAAACACATCCAATCAAAGTAATAGGTCTATAATCTTTCAACTCTATCGAATTAAGCTTCTTAGAAATTAATGTTAAAAAAGAGGAATTTAATCCTCTTACCAACCTGCCACGTTGATAGAACTCCTCAAAGAAGCTGACAAAATCCTCCTTCATACCGCTCCAGATCAATTTGATAAAGTTAAAATTGAACCCATCTGGCCCTAGTGCTTTATTCCCTTCACAGCTATTCAACCCTTCTTTAATCTCCTCTACTGAGAATGGCCTTTCTAACCACTCTTGCTGGTCCTTAGAAATTTGTCTAAAAATAACACCATCCGGCTTAGGTTTATTCCATAAATCTCCTTGAAACATTTCCTTGAAATATTTTACCACCTATTTCCTAACCAATTATGGTTCCTCTACCCACCTACCATAACAAACCAAACCTGTAATACCATTGTGGGCCCGTCTACCATTTGCAACTTTATGAAAATAATCTATATTAGCATCACCCAATTTCACCCAATTACTCCTAACCTTTTGCCTCCAAATCGCTTCCCTTTTCCTTATAATTTCCTACAACTCCTGGAAACCTTCTTGTCGCTGTGCCATCTCAAATCCCTCTAATACAAACTCTTCATTCTTCAAATCAACATCCTCAACCTTTTTTTCAGCTTTTGCAAACTGCATTTCCAAATCCCCAAACACTTCATTATTCCAACCTTTTAAAAACTCTTTAAGCATTTTTAGCTTATATTTACATTTAAAACCTGCAAAACCCTCCACCTTCAAGCTTGCCCATTTTTCCTCAATTGCCTTCTTGAAATCTGGATGCTGCTACCAAACATCCAGAACTCTAAATGGCTTGGGACCCCAATCTACTATCTGAGATTTCAAGATAATAGGACAATGATCTGAAATAGTTCATTTCAACCCTTGTTGTACCTACTCCCCACTCATATTACACATCTTCGTAGACATAAAAAATCTATCCAATCTGCTCATGGATGTCCCATCTATTTTGTACCATGTAAAATGCCAGTTCACTATTTAAAGTTTAACCAAACCCATTGTCTCGATAAAATCATTGAATTCTCCCATCTCAACTTTCTCTCCTGTCTTTCCCCTTTTTTCTTCAAGACTCTTGACAGCATTAAAATCACCCGCAACCAGCCAATAACCCCCCTCTTCCACAATCATCTACTTTAGTTTATCCCATAACTATAATTTTTGCTGTCTTTCTTGAGGAGCATACACATTTACTAAGTGGCACTTCACTTTCATCAATCCCCATTCTGCTGTTACAACCAAAAATCCATCACCCTGAAATTCTCCTAATTTTACAAACTACAACTTATATTCCAGACACACAACAATCCTCCAGATGCTCCTCTCGAATCCTTCATCACCCAATCAAACTCATTTGAACCCCACAACAATCAACATAAACCACTAGCCATCCTCTAACTTAGTCTCCTACCAAAACATAAAATTCGGCTTGTGTTCCTTTACCAATTTACCCACCTCCTTCTTCTTCAATAACCCTCCTAAGCCTCACACATTAAAGGACAAAAATTTCATCAGAAAAAATAAACTCGCACCCCAAATCACTCCCCTCTACTCGTAAACCCCTTTTAAATCACCTCCCCTGCACCTCAATTCGTCCCTCAATTGCCAACAGCCTCGATTCAACCTTCTCTTCATTATCTTGAAAGTTAATCCCTAACCTCTTTCTCACACTAATCATCCTCCTAACCTCAAATAAACTCAAATCCCTTCTAATTACCTAATTGCGATGCTCAATGCACCCATCTGAAAGTGACAGACTATCGACCCATTTCAAATTTTTCTCTACAATTTGTTGGACCATCTTTCTATGTCCTTGGTGTTGATTTGTTTGCCCTGTTACCCATAATGTCTTCTCTGTCGAGGTTTTCACCAAGCTCTGTAGGTAGCACTCTTCTAAGTTCCTCCACCTCTTGCTCTGCACTTCCCTGATTCCCATTTCCTGATTTGAATGAGTCTCCTCTGCATTACTACCGTTGGCCTCATTCCCCTTATTACCACTAACCCAATCATGTTGGCCATTTTTTTCCAACCCAGCATCAACCCCAAGCCCAACACACTTGTTGGGCCCAACAAACTTTTAGGCCCAATATCCCAACCCCTTGCAACACCCCTTTGGCAATTAATCTCGTAACCACCATCACCATTTATAACCTATGTATTCAAATTTCTCACATCCATTAACAACGCCTCATCAATGCTGTCGACTTCCTCGCCATTGATCTCGGTGTTAATCAATTCTAGATCCTCATCGCAATTCTATGATGAAGAATATTCCGATTCAGTGTTCGACGGACTGTGCCGATCCTCCATCGACAACCACCAATCTGGATCTAATCTCCATTCTTCCTCTGTCACTGTAATCTCGTACAGCTTCTCTTCCACTTTCAGCAATACATTTTTGGATATCTTACATGCTTGAGAACAAAGGATCATACCTCTTCCATCACACAAGATTGTTTTCTTCTTCGTATCCTCATGAATTACTAACACATCCCTTATTGAAGCTGCAATTTTCTCAAAACAACCATCGCACCAAGCATTCAACAGAACTCTAGAAATCCTTATCCATGCTAATCTCCCATTTAGTTGAGGTGCCACTTCCCATGGAAGAATGAACTCAAACCATGTGTCAAACAACTCCTTGTTTTGCTTCATATATTCATCCAAATATCCTACAAACCTTTCCATTAACAACACCCTTCTGCCTCCTAATGGTGATAAAATTATTAGTCTTCCATCCACATCCATTCTTTCTTGAATATCTGTAACCAACGCTAACGATCTTACCATAGCAACCTTACTCCCCTCAAGCCATTGACATTCTTCCTTCTTTGGAGAAAACTCAATAATCTCCACCCCATGTTGATCCTTTTCCATAACTTCTTGTTTAGCACAGGAACCAACCTCTTCATTAACAGCTTGATTCAACCCAGGTTGCTGTATCTTCTTCCCATTATCATTAGTTTTACCCTGCTATCTGCCTTCTGAAACCCTTTTAACCTCTGGATAATTCCCTGCAACAACTTGTGTATACAACTTATCCAATTGAACAAATCTATGCATTCTGTTATCCATTTTCTTCCCACCCTCTGCACCTGATTTCCTCTTATTTCCTCTGATATCCAGAAAACCGCTGCACTCTATCTTCTGCAACCCTTACTATTAACTTATACAAACCTATCCAAATCTGATTCAAACGCTTTTCACTTGGAAGACATCTTACACTCCCATCATAAGGACAAAGCCAATTTATCCTTTTTCCCCGGCACATAGACATCAACTACACGCCTATAACTCTAGAAAGCCCTCCATAAATCTGCTTCCTGAGATTCCTCAGGAAAATTATAAAAAAAGAATATCTTCATCTGCCCCAAAAAACGATATCCAAATCCTACAAACCGTTGCTGGTGCCCTTGCCGTCCTCTGGAAAAGCCATCTTCCCTGGTAGCTGCGCAACTCCCTCGAACCCTAGTACTCTCCATTTTCTATTATTAAGTGAACCGAAAAATAAGAGACATTAAGGTGGCTTATGTTTAACAATGACGCATAAATGTAATTTAAGGTTAGGGGGCTTTCTTAAACTATTTATATAGTATTGAATACTATTAGATTAAATAAATCCCTAAGAGTTTTGCTCTAAGTTGTTATGTTTGTTCTTGCAAATATAGAATATTGCTAATTTAGGATTTTAGTGGGATTTGGATTTGGATGCGGATGCTGTCAATTGTGACTTGTTTCCCTTGCTATATTATATATCAATGAACTTAGTCTGCCATGATTCATTTCAAGCCACATCACCCCAAATACAGCTTGCTACATTAAACAATATTTAATTCTGGTTTTATTTTTTATTAAAGTCACACTATTTAAATAAATATTTTCCCCCATTTTTTTCCTTCATTCTTCCTTTATTAGCCCCCAATCTCTCCTAAATTAAAAGTTTTGATGGAATATTAAAGTAATCAACTTAACAAGAATACATACAAAATATAATTTTAATAGTGATGTGTCATTCGTTAATACTGTAGGTATTGAAAATTTTGTTAATATTATTTTCTAAATCTTTAGAATGACTTAAATGAGTAATTAAGAAATTCTCTAACATTTGAAGTCACTCACAAGTGAATTAATATATCAAGAATTTAAGATTTGGATTCAACTCATCTTTCATCAAGTAAAAAAGATGAAATCGCGAAGAGTGCAAGAATTATTACTATCCAAACAATCCAATTATTAAAAAAAAAATTGTTTAAGTGTATTTTTTTTTGAAATTACATCCTATAATAATTATCAATGAAATGTGATGCTATTATTTTTTTAAAAAAATAAAATCTTCATTGCAAATTATAATAAAATCATCATGTTGATAATAAAAAAATTATAACAGTAAAGTCATCAAAACCAAACATGAGAAACAATAACTTAATTTAAAAATGGTCTATTGACTATTGATCTTTCTTCATTTTAGTTTAGAATCTTTACTTTTTTCTAAAATTATCTATTAACTTTCATAATTATTTCAATTTAGTCCAATCCAACACAACATTGTTAGTTTTGGTAGTAGAATTCCACATCTTTAATTATGTGGTGCCATATAAGCTATGTAAGCTACCGTGTAGCCTGAAAAGGGAGGCAAATTTGTTTAAAAAATTTTTAACGTATAAAGCAACATGTTTCAAAATTTTTCATTATATAAAGCAATTTTTTATATCAAGATTTAACCCTAAAAAATAATGAAAATTTTTTCTCCAATTTTTAGGGCATGTAACAGCTTATATGGCAAGTTATGTGGTGTCACATAATAAAAAACATAAAATTTTATTAGTTTAATTAACAAAATTGTGTTATACTAAATGAAGTTAAAACAAATTTGAAAGTTAATAAATGATTTTGGAAGAAAATAAATACTTTAAATTAAAATGAAAAAACGTTCAATAATTAATAGATGATTTATTGAATTAAGCTAAAAATAGTTATAAAAACTAAATTAAGAGACTATTGAAGAAAATATACTTCTAAAACTAAATGCAAATAGAGGATAAATAGATACCACTCCTTATTATGACTACACAAGTATTTTTAAATTGATAATGCTACAATTATATTAAACTAACACATTAGGATAGTAAAGGCATTAGGTACTCCTCAATTAAAAAGATATCTCAACTTATTTAATACCTCTATATAAATAGTAACATATTGATAACAATATATTACACATTTAATTTTTTATTTATTAAGAATATTAATATTTAATTCACACTAATGTACCTAAACAATTTATGAACCTTCTAATTTGATTCTACTGGTTTGGGTGTAGGAGGTTGACAGTTGGTTTTAAAGGCTTAAGTATTTGTTATGTTTGGATTTATATTGTTTGTAATTGATGTAAGTTACTCATGTTGACTTTCAAAAATAGTTATTGATACTTGGATTTAATTCTTTCAAGGTAAGTGATGCACCTTGATACACTAAAAGATCCATTCACCATAAAAAAATACAGAATAAAATAATTTAAACACAAACTATATTAAAAAAGAAAAAAAAAAACGTAAATTGAGTTGCCTAATCATTTCTCCTATAGTCATCCCCATACAATTTTTTTAACTCAAGGGACTTCAGCGATCTTTTCTTTTATTAGCTTCCTCATTCTCTTCCTCTTTTGAATATCCATGTATTGTTCATTATCTTTATTGTCCATGAAATCAAATTCTTCATTGTTAGCATTGATTTTAGAGAATAAAAAAGATAGAGATATGGTTTTGACTAGTTAGAAGATTCATTAACATATAATATTCAAAGTCCATGATATTCTTAAGACAAAAAAGGAGCTTTGATTAGTTCCACGAAACTTTAAGCCCATAAATCACAAAAACAAAGCTACAACTTGATCCATTGAGGTTATGTACCTTGGAGGGAGATTGAGGACTAACGAAAGAATAGAAAAAAAATAGTAAGTATATTTTTTTAGGTTTTATATGAGTTATATATACAAACTTACAAGCTAATTTGAATAAAAATTATTATTCTTAAAATAAAATATCTAAGTTTAACAGTGTAAAAGAGACATTAGTATCTTGCAAGCAAGGACGTTAGTATAAGGATCACAATAGCATGGTTTTTTTTGTAGGACCCAATAGTATCCTTCACAACATTATATGGACCACCATGAACAATATAGATATATACGGTTGAGAATGAACAAAAATTGAAAAAAAAGGACTATTATTGTTTTTTAACAAAGGACTATTATGGTTTTTTAACCTGTATCTTTTCTTATATATTTCTTTGATAATAAAATGATTCGTATCTTTTAGTCTAGAATATACATGCAAACTAAAATTATTGAGTACCCTTAATAAAGTAATATGAGAAAAAAATTTATTAAGGGTATTTTAATAAATTTATAATATAAATTTATTTTTATTATACAATATAAATTAAAAAACACATATTTGTTTGATTAAAACCCTTATTTTATATATAAATCTATATCTTAATTGATCTTGATTTTTCTAATTTTTTAAAGAGAGATTTTGAAAACAAATAATGATTAATTTAAGTTCCATTTAATATAATTATGGTTTTGAATTTTTATTTTTTTACTTTTTTATATATTTAATAATTAGTACTATATTTAGATTAAATTCAATAAATTTAAATTTTTATAAAAAAATTTGATTTTTAAATATAATAATAATTACAAAATTTGTAAAAAATAAAAACTAAAAATCCAAAACAAAGTTACACTAAACAGAGGTTTAAGTTTCTTTAGAATTGATTTTGTTTGAGTTTTGGTTTTTAATTTTTATATTTTAACAAGTATTACTATATTTAGAAATGAAAACTATTATAAAAATTAAAATTTATTAAATTTAATTTAAATATAAGAAAAAAGTACATATTAGTCCCACTCTAAAAAAATTAAAATTTAAATCTTAAATAATATCATTTCATTTAATTAAAATTTAATTTAAAATTTAAAAATTACCTTATTAAATATTAATATCTAAATTTAAAAACTGATTATATTAAAATATATAATTAATTTTTAAATCAAAATATTAATATTTAATATAATAAATTTTTAAATTCTAAATTAAAATTTTAATTTCTTAATATTAGTTAAGTTCTTAATTTTTTTAGTCAAAACTAATACGTTCTATTTTCTCAATATAATATTAAATATATAAAAATAAGATAAAAGTAAAAATTAATACATTTTAATCTCGTTATAAAATTATTAAAATACTTAAAATTAATCTTTTTTCTCTTTCTCTTTACTTATTGATTCATTTAGGTTTATTACATTTTAAAATCTTTTGATTAAGAATATAATTTTATTAAAAAATTATTAAATGGACATAAATATTTAAATTACTATTTTTCATTTTTAATTAATGTTTTTAAATTTAAATATTTAATTTTTAAAATTAAAAAAAAAGTTGCAATCATACAAATTGAGCGGAAGGAATTAACCAAATAAGAGGTTGAGGTTAAGTCTATCTCGATTTTTGATTAGTGGGGGAAATGTAAGTTTCAAATACCTAGCTTTAGTTTCAAATACCTAGCTTTAGTACCAAAAATAATGATAAATTTTTTCATTAAATGTTAAAAAAGTTCTCTTTTATCAGTTTACAAAATTTATTTTTTCTCTATAAATACAGTATGTTTCGTTAAAATCTTATTTACGGAAATTTACTTCTTCAGATAAACGAGGGTTTTTCTTCTTCGAAGCAACAGAATAAGCATCGTCGTCCTCCCTTCTCCTCCTCATTTAAACGCCTAATGCCACCGTCGTTTTGCCGGTAACCCTAGCTGTGTCCCTCACTGTCCCTCTTCTCTTCACACTCCTCGACGAATCTCCGAGCACCGTCACTGGAAAACGCAATTTTTGCCCATTTTACTCGTTTCCTGGAAGAAAAACGATATCGAAATTCACTCTCCTGGCTGTTTTTCCTTCAAATCAAAACAAGAACTGAATTGATTTGAATGCTAGAAGATGCCAAATCAGTGATAAACCTTACACGTATCGGCTATGGCTCAGCAACAATCGTCGCGTCTCAATCGTTTGCTTACTTTGTTGGACAGTATCCTTTTCAAGCAATTTTTCATTCTATTGTATATTCTTTTCTCATGCAATTCTTCATTTTATTCGTCCTAATTGTTTCCTGTTTCGGGATCTGAATGTGAATTGAGATTTTCTTCTGTTTATTTTTTCCTTTAACCATTTCTCTCTAAAGCTGGTTCAACACAAGCAACCAGATTTACTGCTGCGCGGCAGATTGGGGATATCGCAAAATCCCATCCCCACGATTTGAATTCTCTCTTGAGAAAGGTGCAATTTTTAACCTTTTTCCTCTGCATTTGCTGACAGTTATCTATATATCTTATTGTGTATGGTAGTTCAGGTGTTTGTCTGTATGATAGCTCAAGCGTTCAATCGACTCTGTTTTTGTGTGTGGGCTAAGTGTGTTTGCCTTATCAGTCTTTTAACGGCGTAGTGAATTTGGGATTTATCCCTTCTGAAACTGTTGATATTGGGAAGTGCTGTTTTAATTACCCTGTACCAATATTGTTGTTAGTTATTTTCAGTGTTCAGTTGATAGGATCGAAAAACTGATAAGAATTTGCATTGTTATGCTGATAAATAAGCCTAAGTTACCAGTTTATGTGAATAGCTGTGTGCCTTTTATTGTGCCCATTATGTTAGAAGTTAGAGGCTTTAGGAGAACAGTTTAAATCAAATGTTTTAAGTTGGGATTATTCTCTTATGAAGTTTATTTGGATGAGTTGTTTTCTTCATTCCTTTGCTGCTTGCTTGCTCATGTTTGCTAGAATGGGGTAGTATGCTCTTGAACTATGTTCAATTTGAGATTTTTAGTTCTTTATTTTCTTTATTTATCTCACCAATTAATTGCAGTCTAGACTAGATTGATTGAATGCTAGTTGCCTGATATGTTGCCTTCAGCGATATCCTTTTCTCTCTGTTGTAGTTAGTCAGTTCCTTTCCTATTAAAATTTGCTCCTTGTATGGAATCAATTTGTCGGCATAACCCCAATTTTGGTTTTATATTCCATCCACCATCTAAATTCTATTGGTTTTTTTAAAATTAGGTTTCCCAATATCTTCGTAGTAAAAGCTGGGATACCAGGGTTGCCGCTGCACATGCCATTGGAGCTATTGCTCAGAATATTAAACATTCTTCATTGGCCGAATTGTTGGCTTTTCTTGGGGAAAAGTTGTCAGAAGCCGGGGTACCTCGTACTGTTGAAGACTTGGTGGCATCACCTGACTTGCATTCTAAAATTGCATCAAGTGTTTCATTTAGAAGGTAGTGTATGATTTTCTTTATCCCTTTTCATTCAAATTTTCTTATGATCAACAATCATTGTAGAGTTATAAAAGTAGGTGAGTTTGGTTTTCATGGATAAATTGAAACATCTATGCCTTTTTACTAATGAAATTTATTCTTTTTTCAAACTTTTATAACAGCTTTGATATCAACAAGGTGTTGGAGTTTGGTGCTTTGTTGGCCTCCGGTGGACAGGTAAAAATGTTTGATTTGATAATGATCCAATCCATTAGGTAGTCTAGTTTATTTTGATATCTATTTTACTTGGAAAAACTTCAACATTTCCAATTGCATATAACTATGTTTTATCTTATGCCTGAAAACTATCTTTCTTAACTTCTATCTTTAATAAATTGTGTATGTGTCTTGTTCTTTCTTAAAGGTTGTTCTAGTGAGCCAAGTTTTGGAATCTCATTTGCACCTTTCTCATTTTCTTTTTCCAACTATGCTTTTCTTTTTTGTGCCCACCCATCCTTTGTGTATTGCTTGTTACAATATCCTTTGTGTCATCTTGTTGTGCTTATCGTTGTTGCCACTTTTTCTTCTCTGCCATATCTTTTAAGTTGTACCTAGTTGTTGAACAAGTTCTTATGTAATCTCCCTTTACTTTTTTCTGACTATGTTTATAGTTTTGAGTCTGTGACTTCTTTACCTCTCTATTAGCTATTTTTCTTATTTTCTCTACCTTTTCATACCTTGGCTATCAAGTCCAAGTTTATCTTTCCTCTGACATATTCTTCAAGGAGATATTATATTTTTTTCAGAAGACTGTAATTAATGGTTTAGATAGTATTGGATGGAACAGTTTGACTTCTGGTGTCTGCATGCTATTAAACATCTTAGACATGTCACATGGATAAGATGATTAGCCTTCACCATAGTCTAGCAAGATTATAGACACATTCTTCCTAGTAAGACTCTATATTTTTCACTTTCCTGTGAGTATTTTGTGCTGTTTTAACTATTTGATGATTTATAGAAGTTAGTGTTTAGTGAAAGTCAGATGAGTTTATGGACTGAGGAATGCATGGTTTGCTTGATATATTTTCTTAGATATGCATTATATGCAAATATACTGAAATCTTTATAGCTTGTTTATAGAATTCTTTTACCTTTGTTAGCCAAGAAAAAAAATGGAAGTCTTTATCTTTATAAATTTGTGTGCATTGGCAAGTATTTGTTATTACTGATACAATTTATGGTTTCTGTACTTCATTTTCGGATCATTCTTTTTCTCCATGCCACTGATGTTTTAGGATGATGGCAAGCTAATCCATTAACCTGGTTCCCAACAGGGGTAATTACATTTACTTCCTGGCATCCTTGTGGCCACCATGTATATACAATGTGTCACTGACATTATAGTATGCCTTAATGATTTTACATGTTGTATTTTGTAGTGTATTTTGTATGTTATTTCTTGTTTGGAAGATGTGATGTGTGAACCATACTTGTCAATTCTGTTTATGTAGGAGTATGATATTGTAAATGATAACTCTAAGAATTCTAAGGAGAGGTTGGCACACCAGAAGCAGAACCTTCGGCGGCGTTTAGGTTAGTATTTTTCCTTATAGATTGTTATTGCTTAATTACACTTGCATACCTGGATTTTTTTTTTCTTTTTGAAATTTGGTTCATATCATATGTTTGTCTAGTAGAAATAAAATGCAGGCTAAAATGATGTCAGTAATAGGGGAGGGACTGACAATGTTGTTAAAAGTCAAAATTTCTGGTCAAAGTTTGTTTTCTAGAGGCAGCTAGCTTGTGGTTGATGGTTTGACCTTTGTATCTATTCAATTATGAGGATTTATTTTATTCATTTTTTGCTGAGTTCAATTATGAGTAATCTATAAAATAATGAAGCTGCACCTTTTGTTTTCCCCTTTTCTCCCTTGTCATATGGGAGGTGGGGGATGGAAAACTTTTGGTTTGAGACTTTTGGCATTAAGGATGGTAGTATAACTAACTTTTTTAATGCAATGATTTCTTTTCTTTTATTTATTTTCCCCTTACTGGTTGGTAGTTCTTATTTTTCTCTAAACTGTCAATTGCTTGCGTTGCCGGGTTCCTTCTGTTTCTCACTGGCAATGTTGATTGTTCATCTCTAATCATTTTGTTTTATTTATTTTGCCCTTCCTAGTAGGCAGAAAGTTATTCTAGATTAGGAAGATGCAAGTATAATGTAAGCTGTCAAAGTGAGAATTTATACTTTCCTTTCTGGTGCTATATTATACTGGTAGTGCTTTTCTTTCGCTCAGGCTATAGACCGAGATCCAAGTTCCTATCATCTCTTAGGTTCTGTGGTTTGCTGTAAAACAAAATACATTGTAAAGAAACTTGATGTGGAAAAACTGTTGTCTGTTTTTGTTCATTCTTTTGGATTTGGTTGCATCAAGGTTCTGGATGTGAGCTTTCTTTATTGGAAGGGATTCCTGTAATATTTTAAGAGCTGTATTCTGTTAATCTCATGGTTGAAATGTGATCGAATTCTGTCTCTTCTAAATTCCACTTCTTGCTTATGTAATTAGTTGATTGTCTTACAGGCAAGTTTTATTCAGATAAACTTTTGACTGACCCTTTTCATGGGAAATGATGGAACGATATTATCATTCTTTGCATTTGGTCGACTTTAGCATGACTGCCTTCCTTTCTTCTTTTTGGTGTTTAGGTATTTTTTCTTAGATATCTAACCAAAGTTTTGCATTGAAGGTGATTCAGAAGAGCTTTGGCTGATGTCTATTATCTATGTTTTTTTGGTTTTGATGTATATTTAAAAACCAAATTCAGAAGATGATTCTGGATCCTACAGCAGGGTATAAAGCTACCGGCATGCTACATATTTAAAAACCAACTTCCTATGATAACAAAGATGTTGTTTTTCTGACAGCTTTTGAGTAACTCATTAGTCTATTTTCTGGCCTGTTTATGGGGAACTAGAAAACTTCTAGTTTGTACCAAGTGGCTGGCATCTTGTTTCTGGATGATTTTGTTCATTTACTTCTTTTCCTGTTTTGTTGTTTTCCCTGGGTCCTTTGTTAGGCTTGGGTGAATTGTGGGGGCATTTCCTGTTATGGAAAATTATAGTGGTTAAGTCAGCTCAGTTTTTTGAAGGGTAGGACTATTCTAGTACTTGATTGGATATTTTACATACATTTCTATTATTTGTCTAGTTTCTGTGTCCATGGCAGGTGTATCACCATTTCCTTATTGAGTTGTATATATTTGTAGTTTTTAATCAGCAGTTATTGAGTTATATTATAGTTGAGAAATGGAGAATTTGCTTTGCATGTAGGTGTCCTTTTTCTTCAATGATCTCCTGCATGTTACTTTGATGAGAGACTATTGAGTATTGGTTTGAATATTTTTATTAGAGTTATACTTTCATTTTATATGGATTCCTGACATGATCTTCTTCTTCTTTTCTTTTCTTTTTCTTTTTTTTTTTTTTTAAATAGGTTTGGATGTATGTGAGCGTTTCATGGATGTCAGTGATATGATTAGAGATGAAGATCTTATTGTGCAGAAATCCCATTCATATGGAAATGGGTTAACCAATAGTTTTTACACACAACCATCAATTCATAACATCCATCAGTTTGTTTCAAGAATAGTACCCAATGTTTCTAAACGAAGGCCAAGTGCAAGAGAGTTGAATCTATTAAAGCGAAAAGCTAAAATAAATTCAAAAGACCAAGCAAAAGGTAGGTCTGATGATGGAGATGTAGAGGTGTCTTGTGCTCAAAGTGCATCAACTCCAAAGGGATCATGCCCCAATCCATTAAGTTCCAGTAAGGTATTAGAATAAATCACATCATTTTACCCTCATCATTTTTTTTTTTTTGTGTGAGCAATCATATCAAATATTTTATCCATGAATATAATGAACCAAATATTCTGTCAATTGGAATTCTGGACCTTTTTTCTTCTAATGGATGTTAGAGCTAACTTTTGTTCTGTAGGGTCTTTAAGGACAATTTTAATTACAGAAAATTTTTATTGACCAATTAACTTAATATGTTCAGTGGATGATGTGCATGCAGTGTATTAAGTTATGGTTCCCACAGAGATTACTGTACCTTATGTACATGCTATATTATTTTTTCTTGGTTTACTTAAGTTGCATTTATTTATCTCTGTGGAATGTATATGGAATTTATCTTTTCATTATTCTCTCCCTCCACCTTTTTAATTCTTAAGAGAGGAATTTAGATTATTGAAAAAAGAATTTTCTTTGAATAGTCTGGTGAATTCTATATTTTGGAGAAGCATCCATGATTCACTAAACTCTGACTAAAAATGAAATGTATTTCAAATTTTTTTCATTGTGAAAAGCCAAATTTTTAGAATTGATGTAATTAAGTTCCTAAGTTGACAGTGGCCAAAAACAAACTTCTTATATTATTAATGCAAATAAACTACACATGCCTATAGTTTGTCACTTACTAGGATCTGGAGAGAGGGCAGAATTGGGTTAATGTGGCTGCATAACATGAAAATCTTATCAAGCACATGCCTATAACTTGTTATTATTCTAAAAGGTGTCATTGTCTTTAAATGAAAGGGACAAGAATATTTTTCCTATTGTAATTTGTATAGGATTTAGAATTAACATTAATTGTTACTTGTTCTTTTGGGGGTCTACATTTGTTTTCCTTTTTGTCTTGTCTTTTTTATCTAATGTCTTAGTTTCTGGCCTAAAAAATGAGGTATCAGGCACTAAAATACAACTTAAATTTTTATGCAGTTTGATGCCGTAGCTGAAGAAGACAGCTCCGAGCATGATGGAGATGGTCGCTGGCCTCTACGTAGTTTTGTTGAACAACTTATACTTGATATGTTTGATCCTGGTAAGCATTCTATAATTTTCTAGTATTTTGATCATATTGGTTTTCCTATGATAAGCTGATAGTTCTTATATTTACCAGTCTGGGAAATCCGCCATGGTTGTGTCATGGCTTTGAGAGAAATTTTGACTCATCATGGTGCCTCTGCTGGAGTATACTTGCCTGACTTGAACTCAGACAGTTCCCTGCATATTGAACTTAAAGATATAGATGATGCAACTATCATCAAGAGAGAGAGAGAAATTGATCTGAATATGCAAGTTTCTGTGGATGAGTCAGAGCCAAAGCTGAAGAGGCCAAAGTTTGAAGATGTAGCATCCCCTGTGATGGACAAAATGGTCCCTTCTGGTGAAATTAGTGACTTTGGTTTCAATGTAAAGGTTGAAGATGATGCAAGCTGTTTACCCGAAGTCCATGTTAATGGTCAACTTGATCTTAGTTCTGTTAAGATGGATACTGAATCTTTTAATGATGGCACGGTGGTCTACCAGTCTAAAGAAGCTGTTGACATGGTAGAGCCAAAGGATTTACAGCAAAACCTTCCCGAAAATTTTGAGCTTATCAACTTAGTCAAATTGGCTAGGCATTCTTGGCTTAAAAATTGTGAATTTCTTCAAGATTGTGCCATACGTTTTTTGTGTGTACTATCATTAGACCGGTATGATTTTTTTTGCTCATTGGTGTTATTGTGAAGTGGATAACTTTTAAATTGATCTTTTCTTTCAGCAATTAGAAATGATGACATATGTATTACTAGGTCCTTTTCTTAATTTTCGTTTGTTGTGCTGCAGTTTTGGAGATTATGTGTCTGACCAAGTTGTTGCTCCTGTGCGAGAAACTTGTGCTCAAGCACTGGGTGCTGCTTTTAAGTATATGCAGCCCTCATTAGTGTATGAAACATTGAATATCTTGCTGCAGATGCAGGTAAATGCCTTGCAAGCTCACACTTTTTATTGTCAATTATAATGGGGATAACTACAATGGTTATATTCTTTCTTCTGGCTTGGTGATTTTATTCCCTGTCTTCCCTCTCTGTTCAGTATAGGCCAGAATGGGAAATTCGTCATGGAAGCCTTTTAGGTATCAAGTACTTGGTTGCTGTGCGACAGGTAAGGGTTGTTTTCTTCTATTTTTTACTACTTTTTAATATCAGCAATTTAGGCTTTCTCATTGACTTCCATGATTTCCACTGTTCAAGGTATGCTGGCAAATATGATAATGGAAAGAAAGTTAAAATCCATAATTCCTAATCTTTTTTTTTTTTTTTTTTTTTTTGGTGCGATTCTAGGAGATGCTTCCTGATTTGCTTGGCCATGTTCTCCCTGCTTGTAAGGCTGGATTGGAGGACCCTGATGATGATGTGCGGGCCGTTGCTGCTGATGCTCTGATACCTGCTGCAGCTTCTATTGTTGCTTTAAAGGGCCATTTACTGCACTCTATTGTTATGCTACTTTGGGATATTCTACTTGATTTGGATGATCTAAGTCCATCAACTAGCAGGTGACTTGGTTGATCTCCTATGTTTTCTGGTTTTTCTTTATTTGTCACTTTGATTTTGTTTTTTTTAGTGCTTGTTTTTTCTAGTAACTTATGTCTTGAATCTTGAAGTCTTGAAACTGTATGGGTATGTCAGACTTGTCAGTATTTCTGCATTCTGAGGGTAATTAGAGATTGTTTTTCCTCTTTTGTAATTAAAAAATTAAATATTGGAATTTTAATGTGTGAAATTGTTCCAATATCCTTAATGAATCTTCCTTGCATGTTGATTCATTAAGGGTATTTTAAGTCTTTTCATTATCATTCTTGGCATTTTGATTACCAGGACATCTTGATTTTCCTCAATCCCTTTAACAAAGAGGGTAGAATGTTTTTAGCTGAAATCTCAATTTTGGAGCAAAAAATTTTATTGCAATCATTAGAGCGGCAGAGTTTGTTTTTCCTTGATCAGCCGAAGGTAATATATTTTTCTTAATATGGAGTACAAGGGGTACTCCTGCCCTAACAAAGTTTCAAAATAACATCAAATTCCAAATACATCTACTTCAAATATTAGAGGAGGCAGAGATTGTAGCTCAACCTTGTTTGTTTTGGTGATGAAACTGTTTCAATTATTTTATTATATTCCTTGAAATATCACTTAGTCTCTCTATGCATGTGACATATTATCATTTTCAAATTTTTTCACTCTGACTATTTCACTGCTCCCCTCTGTTTTGCTTTATTATTCTCCATATTCCTATCCTATGCTATGAAACTTTACACTGTTCCTTTATTCTTTTTGTTACCTTTACAATTATATGGTAATGGCAATGAATTTGATTAAAGTTTTAAGGAAGGTTATATTTAAAGAATTACAACTTCATTATTTTAACTCAGTTAAAAAGGTGCAGAATTCAAAAATATTAAAAGAAAATAGATCTAGAAGCATTAGGGTAAAGTGAAGTTTTAGGGATGGGCAAGGTTGCAATAAAGTGAACATCTGTAGAAGCTCTTAAACGACTTTTCCTAGGTATGAATTTGATGGCTAGAAGCTGTGCTCCTTAAGGCTATTGAGTATCTGTTCTAGATTTTTGATTCTTTATTTATTAATTTATATATTTTTTATGTAAGGGTTTTTCTGTGCCCACTTTCCCTTTGTTTCTCTAAGAATGGTTTCATGCAGTCCTAGTGGGTTTTGACTCAATTCTTTCATATTCAATAGTACAAAGAAATGTACTATGGTTTGGCTGTTTGTCTTTTATTATTATTATTATTATTCATAATAGTTGTTTTCTTTCAAGATTTTCTGTTACAAACACATTGCACCTAATGCTTCTTTTCTTTTCCTTTCCTCCTATTTAATTTGAACAAAATCATGTCTATCTTGTTACCTTGATCTTTGAGCGGCAATATTCCTCAGTTTGATTGCAACTCTTGTGATGGATCTCTTTAAATACTCAGATCAATTAATAACTTTTGAGGGCAATTCTGAAATCCCCTCCTTTCTGGCAGTGTTATGAATCTTTTGGCAGAAATCTATTCCCAAGAAGAGATGGTCCCTAAGATGTTTGGGGCATCAACATCAAATGAAAAAGAGAATTTTGATTTAAATGAAGCAGTTCATGCTGATGTTGCTGGAGAAGGGAGAGATTTGCAGGAAAGTCCTTATATGTTATCTATTTTGGCACCCCGATTATGGCCATTTATGAGACACAGTATTACCTCTGTTAGGCATTCAGCTATTCGCACTTTGGTAAACTTTTGTTTTTATTTCTTATTTATTTTTTTCCTCTGCAGGTTTCAGTTACTCATTTTGCAATAAAATACATAAAAGCTGTTCTTTGTTGTAATGCATCACTGGTTCTATTACATTTCTTCCTGGTTTTGTCTGTTGGTTTAAGATAGTTTTTGTGCATGTATTCAAGTTAGATGGATCTATGCCCTATGTTTCTATTTGAGCAATTCACATCTGCTTGCAAGAACTGGATTCATACAATTAGGGGCTGTTTGGTTGCCAAGTCACTTTCCTGCCTAAACTTTTCTAAACTCTCCCCATACAAGGTTATTTACATATTTTCACACATGAACACTACAACAAAATGAGGATAAAGGTGGCATTTTTAGCCTTAATTTTTCCTGACACAATTTCCAACCCACAAACTTTTCTTCCCTCACCTTTTGAAAGGAAAAGGTTTCCCCTTAACTTCTTACAACTTTCCTAGCAACTTCCTTACCAAACACAGGAAAGTTAACCACCCAATGAAAATTTACCTACAAAACTTATTAACTTTCCATACAATAGTTATCAACTTGGCATATAGTACTTTTCTAATCACTTTCCCATTGGTGAAGTTGGCTCATTGACCAAACAGGCCATAGTTCCTTTTCTTTTTTGGTGTCAGAGAACCTTTTGGTGTTGATTCACTGGAGAATTTCTTTTGCAGGAGAGGCTTCTTGAAGCTGGCTATAAAAGGAGCCTTTCTGCACCCTCCAGTGATTCTTTTTGGCCATCTTTTATTCTGGGAGATACCCTTAGAATAGTTTTTCAGAATCTGCTCCTTGAATCCAATGAGGAAATTTTGCAGTGTTCGGAAAGGGTTTGGCGGCTGCTTGTTCAGGTACTTTGGTTGCATTTATAAGATGTCGTAGTTCTTTTCTTAATTAACTAGTATGTTGATGTGCATGTCAGGCACTGTACATCTTTTTTTTTCCTTCTTGTTTTATGTCTTTTGAAAAAACCATCTTTTCATTTTTCCTTCTAATGGTCCTAGTTTGTGGATGTTTTTGTATGCATATGTGTTTGGGTGTGTCGGGAACCATATATGTTTTTGCTTCTTGTTTTGTCTGTCTTCTGAAACCATGTTTTCTTTTATCTTTTAATGATTCTAATGTGCATGTGTGTGTGAGAGAGAGAGGGGTACCATATAATCTTTTCTTCTACTTGTTTTGTTTCTGTCTTCTGAAACTATTTCTTCTTTTTTTCTTTTAATGATCCTAGTGCCCAGTTGAAGACTTGGGTACTGCTGCAGTGTTATTTATGTCTTCTTGGATTGAACTTTCAACTACTCCTTATGGTTCAACATTGGATGCTACAAAAATGTTTTGGCCAGTTGCCCCTCCTCGAAAGAGTCACTATAGAGCAGCAGCAAAAATGAAAGTTGTGAGGCTTGATAATGAATATTATGGAAATATAGGCATAGAGTCTGGGAAAAGAGCAATTGAACAAGAAAAAAATGGAGATGCTTCAAGTAATCCAGTTAAGATAATTGTGGGTGCTGATTTGGAAATGTCAGTTACTAATACCAGAGTTGTTACTGCATCAGCATTGGGAATTCTTGCTTCTAAATTGGATGAGAATTCTGTGCTTTGTGTAGTTGATCCATTATGGAATGCACTTACATCCTTCTCTGGAGTTCAGCGGCAGGTAGCTCTCCAACTAATTATGTTTTTGAAGATGTGTGGCCTGTTCAATATCTTTCTTTTTTTTTATGGATTGATTTTTTTTTCCCTACCAGGTGGCCTCCATGATTCTTATTTCTTGGTTTAAAGAGATGAAAAGCAGGGAGCTATCTGGGAACCTGGGAATTATGCCAGCTTTTCCTGATCACCTCAAGAAGTGGTTGTTAGATTTGCTATCATGCTCTGATCCTGCCTTCCCCACAAAAGATTCCTTGCTTCCTTATGCTGAGCTATCAAGAACATATGCCAAGATGCGTAATGAAGCTAGTCAGTTGCTATGTGCTGTTCAGTCCTCTGGTAAATCTCCAGATTTGTTGGAAAGTGTGAAAATTGATTTGGAAGGCTTAAGTGTAGATGATGCAATAAGTTTTGCATCCAAAGTGCCATCATTAGATAATGATAGTGCCAAGAATGAAAGGCAAATTGTTGATGATATAGAGTCAGCAAAACAACGTCTTATAACGACTTCAGGCTATTTAAAATGTGTTCAGGTTAGTTCACGATTCAGTTGTCATTTTCATGATTTGTTTTAAACCATTGCTCTCATATTTGTATTTGTTAAGGGCAAATTCTTTAATCTTTTTCCTCTCACATACCTGCATCTGATCATCTTTTAAAATGATCTGCAGAGTAACTTGCATGTTACTGTCACATCCTTAATTGCTGCTGCTGTTGTTTGGATGTCAGAGCTTCCTGCTCGACTTAATCCTATCATTTTGCCATTAATGGCTTCAATTAAAAGAGAACAGGTACTGTTTTCAAGCTGGACTATATGTGGATCATACAAACAAAAATTTTTTTTATTTATAATTTATATTGGTCCTTTTTTAGGAGGAAATCCTGCAACAGAAGGCTGCTGAGGCACTTGCAGAGCTTATTTATCATTGTATTGTGCGTAGGCCTAGCCCCAATGATAAGTTAGTCAAGAATATTTGCAGTCTGACCTGCATGGATCCATCTGAGACACCTCAAGCTGCAGTTATCAGTTCCATGGAGATTATTGATGACCAGGATTTCCTGTCTTCTGGGACTAATACAGGGAAAAGTAAGTCAAAGGTTCATGTAATTGCTGGCAGTGAAGACCGGTCTAGGGTTGAAGGGTTTATTAGTAGAAGAGGGTCTGAACTTGCATTAAGGCATTTGTGTGAGAAGTTTGGTGCTTCCTTGTTTGATAAACTTCCCAAACTGTGGGATTGCCTTACTGAAGTTCTTAAGCCAAGCACTGCTGCAGATGAACAGCAAATTGTACTAGCTGTTGAATCTGTTAAAGATCCTCAGATCTTGATTAATAATATTCAGGTCAGTATATCCTTGATGTCATAATTGTGATTTCTTTCTCCTTGTTATATGAGGATTGATGCTGCCAATTTAATGTGCCATGGTATTGCCAATTCCTGGTAATGATGCTGAATTTCCTAAGAGTTTCACATAATTTTTCTCAAATCACATGTCGTGATGAAACATTTTCATTTGACCAATCATGCCATTCCTTCACTTTTCCTACATTATCATCGTTCATGCCTAAGTTAACTTTGATGCATAATTCTACATGCGGGTGCTCACTTGCACATCTTTGGTTAGAACTTATGGGGTGGGAACAAACACTTTGCTAGATCTGATGATAAAGATGAGATCACAGCAGTTATAGCATTTAGAGAAGGGTGGATTGGGCTTTTGAAGGGCTCTATCTTGTCGGCATATTTCTGGCTTTATCTAGGCAGCATCATTAATGTTAGCTGCTAAGTATGAAATGGCTTCATAAACATCATAATAGCTTGAAACCTTTATAAGTTTTATACATAGTTTTTTACAGTTATGAAGTCCATTGTGGAAATTGCTTGCTTTCATCTGACATCTTGGATACTTCTTTTATCCTCCATTTTTACTTGTCTTTTTGTTCTTTTATAGGCACTGTCTTCTTTTCCTTCTTATGTCTTTGTATAGTCCTTTGACCAGAATAGTCATAATTTAAAGGTGCTTTATTTATTTATGCATGTTTTCTTTTGACTTGAATATTAGAGTTGCTTTCATGGAAATTGTTTGTCTCCATCTCATGATGTCTAAGTGCAGATTTCTTTTTCTTCTTGCTATGTCATTGTTTTTAGTCTTTTGAGTTGAATGGTTATTAATAGTTGCTTTACTTATTCATGGTTTCTTTTTTATTTAGTTATTTCTCTCCTTTAAATTGTATAATTTCCTTTTTGCAGTTAGTACGTTCAATTGCTCCAATGCTGGATGACACATTAAAACCTAAACTTCTTACACTTCTCCCATGCATCTTCAAATGTGTTCGCCATTCCCATGTAGCAGTCAGATTAGCTGCTTCTCGGTGTATCACTTCAATGGCCAAGTCAATGACAATTGATGTAATGCAATCAGTAATTGAAAATTCCATTCCTATGCTTGGGGATGTGACATCTGTTAATGCCAGGCAAGGTGCTGGCATGCTTATTAGTTTGCTTGTACAGGGATTGGGTGTGGAGTTGGTTCCTTATGCTCCTTTGCTAGTTGTTCCTCTTTTAAGATGTATGAGTGATTGTGACCATTCCGTCAGGCAGAGTGTAACACGTAGTTTTGCTGCATTGGTACCACTCCTCCCATTAGCACGAGGCCTTCCTCCACCTGTTGGACTAAGTGAAGGTTTATCTAGAAATGCAGAAGATGCACAATTTTTGGAGCAATTACTTGACAACTCCCACATTGACGATTACAAACTTTGCACTGAATTAAAAGTGACTTTGCGGAGGTACATTTTACATCTTGTTCTATTCATTGAATTGAACCTTAGATTTCATGTTCCAATTTCTTGTTCCCCAATTTGGATAAAACTCACACCATAATTTAACTCTTTTCTTAAAGGGTAAGAAAAGCGAGGGGCGGGTAAAATTGACTAGAGACTGCTTTAAATTTTGAGACTTGAGTGCATTATTTTCATAATGACAATCTCCACTAGGAACAATGAAAATAAAGAACATGAACTTCTTCAAATTAAAGGATTCATTTGCATGTAATGCCAGGTAATCAAGTGCCCAAAGTGAAGACTCAAATGTCAAAGTGTCTAGCAAAAAAAAAAAAAAAGGTTTAACAACCTTGTTGATGTGTTTCTCATTCAAAAAAAGTAGGTCTGACATTGGATACCACAGTTAACTGGTTTGTCCATGTGTGCTATTTTGAGCCCACTCTGTGGATAGTCAATGTGTCAAAAAATTATTTAAGCTGATTAAATCTCTTGGTTACTCAATTGTCATCGTCCACTGAATCATGTTAGTAAGTAGAATGCAGTATCAAATGTCAGTGGTCAGTTCTAGAGCACTTCTAATCTCCCATTGCTTGTTTGGTGCTTTCAGGTATCAACAAGAGGGTATAAACTGGTTGGGATTCTTGAAACGTTTCAAGCTTCATGGAATCTTATGTGATGACATGGGGCTTGGCAAGACCCTTCAAGCTTCTGCAATTGTGGCATCTGACATAGCAGAGTCCCGTGCTTCAAATAACTGTGATGATCTTCATTCGTCTTTAATTGTTTGCCCATCAACCCTTGTGGGACACTGGGCCTTTGAGATAGAAAAATACATTGATGCTTCTCTGATATCTACACTTCAATATGTGGGTTCTGCTCAGGAGCGCATGGCTCTACGTGAACTTATTGATAAGAATAATGTCGTCATAACATCATATGATGTGGTTCGTAAGGATGTTGATTATCTTGGACAACTTCTCTGGAACTACTGTATTTTAGATGAAGGACATATCATAAAGAACTCAAAGTCTAAAATAACTCTAGCAGTAAAGCAGCTGAAAGCTCAACACCGTCTAATACTCAGTGGAACACCAATCCAGGTAAGGTAGAAGTCTGAGGACTTACTGTTAAGTCTTAATTTGCAGTTTCCCTGACAGAGTTCCCTTTCTTGCAGAACAACATCATGGATCTCTGGTCTCTTTTTGACTTTTTGATGCCAGGGTTTCTTGGAACAGAGAGACAGGTACAATCTTTTGGCATATCTAATTACTTGATAATTGTCATCTTGTTGATTAGCATCATGGGAACTGTTTCTTTTAATTTATAACTTATGCAGAGATGACTTCTTTTTTTTTTTTTAACTTTATATGTATATTCAGCTCATTTCATTTTTACTCTCAAGACTGTTTTTGAGGATATTTGTTGTTTCATGGTAATAATACTGATAAAATTGCAGTTCTTCTCCTCAAAGTATTAGTGTTATTTACTTTGTTTCCTAATATATCAGGTAGGGTTGTGTATCCTATGAAAGTTTAAATAGACTAAAATTATTTAACTTTAACTCTTTTTCTATGTATTTGCATCTAATATACATTAAACACTTCAGCTAGAAATTTAGAAAAAGGAAAATGTTAAATACATTGAACAGACATATCTAACACTTTTCCCCTTAATTCTTCACAAATAATCAAATGATTTTATTCTGTATGTGGATATGTGTCTCATATCTGTACCCATTCCTTGAGCACAATATGTCTGAACGAAGGAACAAGGGTTGATTTATATATCATTTCATGCCTTTTGAAGAAATGATGGTTAAATTTCAATTTGGGACATCCCTTCACATTATTCTGTGCATAAATGTGTCAACTTCTTCATGATTCATCTTTGAAACTGAGCTTGGAATCTTTCTTTTTCAGTATATCAGGTTTTTTTCTTTTTTTTTCCCCTTCAATGAAAACTGTAACATGGCCATAAAAATGAGAACTGTTATTGTTGCATGTCATTAATCTTAGTATGGTAAAGCAAAAAGGAATGCTTCTTAAATACCAAACTCAATTCTTATTGATGGCTGCATGCCAGTTGTCATTGGAAGTGACTTTACTACCAATAGCTAAATTCTTATTTTACATTGGCTTTACAGATTAATTATGCAATTAGGTGGAAGATTTAACTTTCCTATATAGTGCTTTAATATATTTATTTCATTTGGCATTTCTAGCCACAATATTGTTGCTTGTTATTGTCAATGATTAATGTGAGGTCACTTTTGGCAGTTCCAAGCAACTTATGGCAAACCATTGCTTGCTGCTAGAGATCCTAAATGTTCCGCCAGAGATGCAGAAGCTGGAGCACTGGCTATGGAAGCATTGCACAAGCAGGTCATGCCCTTTCTACTCCGTCGAACAAAAGATGAAGTTTTGTCTGACCTTCCAGAGAAAATTATTCAGGATAGATACTGTGACCTTAGCCCTGTCCAATTAAAACTTTATGAACGGTTCTCTGGTTCCCAAGTTAGACAAGAAATTTCAGGTATGGTTAAGATAGACGAGTCAGCAGTTTCAGGAGGAGGAAATACTGCATCACCAAAAGCTTCTTCGCATGTGTTTCAGGTGAGGTGCCCCCATCCCCCACTTTCCAACTCTTTTCTCTGTTCAATAGTTTTTCATGTGCTGATGAAGATTCCATTTCTCATGTTTAGGCTCTGCAATACTTGCTAAAACTTTGTAGTCATCCCTTGCTTGTTGTTGGTGAAAAAATACCTGAGTCCCAAGCATCCCAGATGTCAGAACTCTTCCCCCCAAGTTCGGATATCATTTCTGAACTTCATAAACTTCACCATTCTCCTAAGTTAGTGGCTCTTCAGGAGATTTTGGAAGAGTGCGGAATAGGTGTAGATGCATCTACTTCTGACAGTGATGCTGCTGTTGGTCAGCACAGGGTTTTGATATTTGCTCAACATAAAGTAATGATGATAATTCCAACCCATTTCTTATAGAGTGAGTTTGCATTCATTTCTTGAACTATCAATTAACAATGTTTTGCACCTTGCTGTGCAGGCCTTTCTGGATATCATAGAAAAGGACTTGTTTCATACCCAAATGAAGAAGTGAGTCTCTTATCGCCGTATCTTTAGTTGAATATTCAAATTGTTGGTTGTCTTCTTTTCCTAATTGTTTTGATATACTTGATTGTTGAAGATATTTTTATGAAATTATTTAGGCTTAAATCTTGGTTGGTTTATTTTAATACTAGATTTTGATTTGCTAGTGCTTGGAAATGCTGTATTATTTTGCTAGAACTTGATGATATATTTTCATCACTATCAGGACCTATTTTTTCAAGACTTCCTTTTGTGCCCTTAGTCATATTGAGGAGTTTGCTTTAAGATTTTGTTTTTGACCATTGACTATCTCTCAAATTATACTATATGCTGAGATTCACTTTGTTGCAATTTTTTAAAATTTGGGTGCCTTTATATTTGAGTTTTCAGAAGAACGGAAGAATGATGATTGTTATGGACAGGCCAAATAGTATGAAATTACTGATTAGTCTTCAAGATTAGTATGAAATTACTGATTAGTCTTCAAGAATTTTTTAGTGTAGTTTTTTGGATTTTGGAGCCTGTGGTTCTACCTTAAGTGGATTACTTATATATATTGTTGTGTTCTGTAGTCTGTACTACATGAACAAGTGATATATTTATATATTCCATATTTAATAGTTCAATTTGGTGCTTTGAAAAGCAGTGTCACATACTTACGGTTGGATGGATCAGTTGAACCAGAAAAGCGTTTTGATATAGTGAAGACTTTTAATTCAGATCCTACAATAGATGCCTTGCTTCTTACTACTCATGGTAAGAACCCTTTCTCTGTTGGCAGAACCCTCAAATCGACCCTAAAAAAATATTGGTGGGGACACATTCACCCCTCAAAAAAAAGCAGGGACAAATTGTCTCTCCAAATCATAAATCAATACAAATCATCCCTTTTTCAACGTTTTCCGTTAAAAAATGCTGATGTGGCAAATAGAATTCTGACATTTTTCGTTGAAAAAGGGGTGATTTGTATTGATTTATGATTTGGAGGGGCAATTTGTCCCTGCTTTCTTTTGAGGGATGGATGTGTCCCTACCGATATTTTTTGAGGGTGGATTTGAGGGTTTTGCCTTCTCTGTTTGCATGTGCACACGCTGTGTGTGAGGGTAAGACTTCTCCTTACTGAGCAGATTCTTTTCCATGCTTACTGATAAGGTCTTTTTTACAGTCGGTGGGCTTGGTTTGAACCTGACATCTGCCGACACCCTCATTTTTATGGAACATGATTGGAATCCAATGCGAGATCATCAGGTGGCATTTTGCAAAATTAGAGACATGCTTGCTTTGATGTCCTATGAAAACATATTTATTTTTCCCATTGAAATGTTGAGTTTTACAAATTTATTTTCTAAAGTAGGGCAACTTCTACTCTGGTGCCAATTTCAATTTGATTCCTCAGTAAGGATTTTTTGATATTGTTAAAGTCCTTGCTAGCATCTAGCAGTTAGGGGGACCCTTATTCAATTGTATGGGCTCAAGTTCAATTAGGCTCAGCTTAAGATTAAATCGTAAATCCAGCTTTTTAAAACTGTTGAAGTCAAACCTCAGTTAAGAAAATACTCCACTCAGATGCTTAAAGGGTTGGTTCTATTATTTATTTGTGCAACATCCATGATTTTTTCATGAAAAATAAGGTGAACTAAAGGGAGGGAGGACATGATAAGTCACAATTGTTATTCCTTGTTTGCACCAATTTTCTTCTAATGGTGGGTGAGAATGAGATAAGAATAACTAAAACCTATGGGGAGGCAGTGATAGTTTTTCTCTGCTTGTTCCAACTTGCTTGAAGAAAATAGATGCAAGGATGGAATAATCCAATTCCCATTTGGCCATACTCTCCCTCAGTCTGCCAAACATATTGTTAATGTTTCTTCACTTTCTGATTTAATAGTAAATTTCTATCCTTAACAAAATATGTTGTCAAATGTAATGTCATCAATTCTCTTATCTTTATTTTCTTCATTGTTTTCTCTATCAGCTTGAAGCTTGGTTTTTTTATTGAGCAGAGAAGAATTGTACATTCAGTTGTGATAAATGATCTTTCTTGTTTAACACTTTCAGGCAATGGACAGAGCACACAGATTAGGCCAAAAGAAGGTTGTTCATGTTCACCGTCTCATAATGCGTGGCACCCTGGAAGAAAAAGTTATGAACCTTCAGAAGTTTAAAGTCTCAATTGCAAATGCTGTTATTAATGCTGAGAATGCCAGTCTGAAAACAATGAATACAGACCAGTTGCTTGATCTATTTGCATCAGCGGAAACTTCTAAAAAGGTATTGTTGTTAATGACAATTACAAAATTTTCTATCTATTTCGGTTGTTGAGCCTTCTATGGGTTTTTTATTTTGTACATGTCTGTGGATTAGTCCACTTAGCATAGATAGTCATTTTACTTCTACATTTCACTAGCAGGGAGCTGCTACCTCAAAGCGCCCAGATGGCACCTTTGAGGGAGACCCAAAACTAATGGGTACCGGAAAGGGTGTAAAAGCTATTCTTGGTGGATTGGAGGAGCTTTGGGATCAATCACAGTACACTGAGGAGTACAATATAAACCAGTTCTTAGCAAAGCTCAATGGCTGACGTTGAGATCCTAAACGTCCTATGTCAACTGGAGAAGAAGCTTTTAGATCAAATGTACCCTGAGGATTTCAACCAAGACTGGTACAGTGCAGCTAAGTGAACAGATTTATGCCTGGCCCTTTTGCCCGTACAAATTGTGTATATAATCTTATTTAGGACCAAAATTTTGGCATTCTTAGGTGTAGCTACATTTCTTTTCGTTTTATCCACCGCATATATTTATACGTTTCTCTTTTTCTGATCTTGTCTTCCCCCAGAATTTTGCCTGCCTGTCTGTTCTATTGAGGCTGGGAGAGAATCTATTTTTAAGCGGTTGGTCCTGAGCCATACATTAGAGAGGGAGAGAGGATTGAGAATTGTAAAGCCCGGATGTTGTATAGACCTTTTTCTTTTAATTTAAAGAAAATTTTTATTTCCAATTTGATTCTCTACGTACTCTGGATTTTTTTTTTTTTTTAGGAACTTAATTAGTAAATCTCAATTGAATTTTCTGTCTTCAACTTCCATTTTCATGCCACACTGTTCTGATGCATCAGAGCTGTCTTATGGGTAGATAGAAAAGCCTTTCCTTATGAAAATCTATGGTTCTGTTTACATTGTAAATTATAATTTTTTAAGTGATGTATAATCATGTATTAATGGGTAAGATGAGGTTACATTAGATTTATTGGTTGAGATTTTGATTATTTTCTACATAAAAATTGATTTTGAGAAACAATAATGATTATTTGGTCAGTTATAGTTTGAATTGAAAAGAAAGAAATTTTTATAATTTAGGAGGAAATGCAGTTAAGGGGTTGAGGTAACAGCGGCATGGTAAAAGTGATCAGATTTAATGCAGCTTTAACTAGATCCTGCTGATGTGTCCATAATTATTTTTTGACAAACTATCCAAATTCTATAACAGCCAGCGACTAAGGTTGGAGGATCGTTTGCAGAAAACAAATAAAAATAAAGTTTTAGATTCAACAAACGGCTAACTCTACACACAGCTCTAAATTAGTTTTAGCATTTTTAGATTTTATTAGCACTGTTTGCTTTAGCTTAGAGATTTCATTTCAAGCACAACGTTTTGTAGATTTTAAGTTGTTTCCAATATTCAAATAGTTAAATTAATTCATGTATTTACTTTTCAATTGTATCTCATATAATGGATTGGATAGCAATTATTTAAATTTTTTAAGATACTATTTATTTTCTTAATATTGTTTATTTTAAATTTATTATTAGTAGTTTTGTTCATAAAATGATTATTTATATAGCATTCATGCCTTTTTCTTGTTTTATTTACCATGGCAATTTAATCCTTATTCATACATGTTTTATGGTTAATTAGTCTTACATTTTCAATTTTGTGGTAGTTCAATTTGTAAATCTGTTTATAAATGTAGGTTAATTTGGCTTCAAACATGATAATTTTAATTAAGATTTGTTCATCTTTGGCAAGTTTACTTTAGTTTACATTTCATCTATAGTATATTTAGGATCTATTAACTTTAAATTCACAATATTAGTAAAATCTTTGAGATTGTCCAAAGTAAATTAGTAATCCATTTTATAAATAGGTATTTCTTCCTTTGCCAAATCATCTAAAGGGGTAGAATTAAATCTTGAATCAACATTCTTCTAATCATCCTAACAAAGAGGTCAACTGCACAGAAATAAAAGGTTATTAAAAAGTTTCTTTTTTCTTACTTTTTAAAAAAGTAAGTGAGATGTTCACGTCTAAATTTGTCTTGTACAAAACAACCGGAGATTTTTTTTTTTTTAGTATGTTTTATACAAATTATATATTCGTATGTTTTCTCTACCTTTAGCATAGTGATCCCATTTTTTTTTTTTTTTTAGTAAGTACTAACAAATTTATTTATTTTTATAAGAATCATTAGATAACCCATAAAGTACATCAACTTCGACTATGATAGTTGTTTTATAGGCTATGAAGCGGTAAAGGAGACAGTAAGTAACTTATAACTCTAGAATACAAAGAGATGCTCTATGCAAAGGAGAGAATTAAATTCTGAGAGTCCATTATAATAGCAGATGTCAATGAAATGTTAAGAGGTCAAAGGAAAAGTTACTTATTCAAGCGTCTATAAATTTTAACTGTATTTGTAACACCTAAAACATAAGAAGAAGATAAAATAGCGCTACAACAGTCTCTACCCAATATAGCATCAAAAATAAGTAAACAAAAAAACCATTGGGTGGATGAAGGGGATGAAGATCATCCACTTTCTTTGCCAAGGCTGTGCCTGAGTTGTCAGTTAAAACCTTTGATGCACGGCCCCGCTCCTCAAGTTTGGATTGGGTAATTTTATTATCAGCTCGAGAGCATGAAATCTCAAAAATATCTTTCAGTGCTTCCTTTTCCCTATTGAGTTGATTTTACGTGTTTTCCATAAATAATTATATTTTATAGAAATTGTAGACTTTCTTGCATTTTTTTTCCATGCTTAAATGGCACTCTCAATGTCAATGATATAAGCACATCAATGGTCATTTCCTTTCGCTGAAAGTAAAAGATTCTGAATTTGAATCACATATTATATGAGTAAGGTGAAATAAGAAATAAAAAATAATTGCTTTTTATTGCGCAACTAAAAAAAAAATAACACTCTTAACGGATCATATATATGCATGCATGCACAGATCAACTAGTGACTAACTCAGGGGATGTTTAGCAAGGTTTAGAAGTAAATTTATTTCTTTTAAATTTAAAAATTTTGTTCAAAAAATTCGAAGGTTAATTTTTGAAGTAATGGTTAAAAATTAATGTGTGGAGTGTGGCTTTAACCCCTTTATTTTTTTTATTATTAACCTTCGGTATTCAGTAACTATGTTAGATCTAACTAATCCGGAATCAAATTATGTCGAATCACATTTAAAAAAAACTCTCACAATACTTGTTTTTTGTTTTTTCATTTATAAGATTCACACTTAAGATTTTATTTTAAAAAAACCAAATTAACAAATTGTTAGTTCAATCTCATTTATATTGGTTGAAACTCCATTTTTAAACATCAATGATGGTTCCTCAAACACTAAATTTATCGGTTTTTCTACTGTGTCCTTAGCGCAAAACCTAATGATTAACTAACAATTTCTACTTTTATAATAAAAAAATGAAAGTTAATCTTTGATTTAAATTATAAATGTCATTTGTATGTTTATTATTGATTTATTTTCAACTCACATTTAAAATTTGTTAGATGAATTTAAAAATTAAGTAATTTTTACATTTTTAATATAAAATTTTATAATTATTATTCAATCAATATTTCTTATCATGCGTTTAAGAGCACATAATCTCTAATGACACGTAACAAACAAAAACTATCAATTAATCATTCTTCTCTGTCATATGCGCTAGAGACACATTATAAAAATTAATTTTTTTTTATTTTTTATTTTTAAATATTAAAAATTAGTTGTGTGGTGTTGCAAAAGTTTTTATTTTTAATTTTGACTTTAAATAAAAAATTTTTATATTAATAACCAAACTATTGTTAGCAATTTATCTACTTTTATTTTTTATAATATTATAGTTATAATGCTATGTAAATTCATAAGTTTACGATAACAATATGTCATTCAGTGAGTAAATAAATATAATATTATATATAAATTTGTAAATAAAAAAATTTACATAATAATAAGTTTTTTCTAATTTATACTCAAAGTATAAGTTAAGAGTACTTTTGGCATAAATCTATATATAAAAATGTAAAAATTGATATTAATTTTAATATTATTCTCATGTAAATGAAATTTAATTAAATAGTTAATAAATTAAAAATTAAAATTTATTCTTGTAATATAAATTCATGATAAAAAATACATTTATTATAATTTTCATGTTTGGTTTTTGCTTGTAAGACAAAAATGATATAAAGTTATATTATTACATTATATTATAAATTTATAATTATAGAAGATATAACTTCACATGATGGCGGAGTGATAGTACTTTGTTTCATAAGTGAGAATAACATTAGGGCATATTGTGTTTAACTTCCAATTCCTCTTCCCTTACCTCTGTTAAAAATATGAAATAATAGTAATAAGTAATTGCCTTTATTCAAAAAAAAAACCTAGCTAAGGACAATTTTTCTTTATCATTTCTTATAAAAGAAAAGGACAATTTTGGGTTTGTCGAACTATAGATGCAGACTTTTATAATTAATTTATATAAAAAAATTATAAAAATTAATTTTTATTTTAACATTATAAGATTTTTTAATCTATATTTTAAAGGTACACATTAAATTTTATTAATTATAGTACTTGTAATAATTTTATATAAATTTTTATATAAGATTCAAATAAAATATAATTTAAAATGTAAAAATAAAAGAAAAAAAATATTTATATTCAAAATCTATAAAAAAAAATATGAATTTAATATAAAAATTCATACAAAATTAATTTAAAATATCTTAATTGATGAGTCTTAACTTATATATTTAAAGTACATGTTAGATAAATCTTAATATTATTTATGTAAAAAATTTTAATTAGATAATAAAAATCAATATTTACATTTTTTATATATGTACTTTTAAATTAATTATAAAAATATACATTAAGTATATTTTTAATCTATACCTTTACATCATCTTAAGTTTAAATAGCTTAGTATTAGAATGAAATAAGTTATAAATGATAAAAGAGGATTGACTCAATTCCTATTGTACAATCCAGGATGTAAATATTCAATATAGAACATACCTAGGGCTATAGCTATAGGAGCTTCCTGTTTCGGAAATCCACCTCCCTTTGCTTGCTGTTTCCAACTCTGTCCCTGTTTTCCACTCTTTTTTTACTACCATACTAATTTATTTATACTTCATAAAAAAATCACAAAGTAAAAATCCAGCCAAGTAACTTAGCCAATCAAGTTATCAACTCCTACTTGCCCATGATTTCTGATGCATTGAATTTTAACCAAATTATATAATAATTTTATAAGATGTGCTTTTAAGATACTTGTTTTCCTTGAATAACCCCAGCAGCCATGTCGTGCTCCCATGCAGTGCTTCCTACCTTGCCTCAGCCATAAAAAATCCTGCACCGGCTGTGAAACATTCAACAAGTTCTTCGAGTACTGGATCATTGAACAGAACCAGCATCTCCTAGACCCCATAGCTGCATCAGAAAGCCAAAAGAAAAACCAGTGTCCTAGCAGCGGAGATGGATCAGATCCCGCATCCGCTCATCAAACAAGTGATTGAGCATTGCTACCACGCCTAGGCAAGGTGGGCTAAGATGGATGTATTGTCCATGTTGTCTCCTTCATGGACAAGCAAATTTAAGAGTGCTTTTCTCTGGATTGGTGGGTGGCGTCCCGGCGTGGCGTTCCACCTGCTCTACTCAAAATCAGGATCGCAACTTGAGGCAGGATTACACGAGCTGCTTCGAGGGTTGAGCTGTGGTGATTTGGGGATCTGTCCCCTAATCAGCTTATCAGTGTTGACAAGCTGCAGAAAAGAACTATAAAGGATGAGAAAGAAAATACAGAAATGATGGGAAGGCTTTAGGAGACTGTGGCAGACTCATCCATGGTTGGGTTATCGCATGCTGTGAGTGAATTGATGAGGAGAGGGCAGACGGGTCATGATGGGCACGAGTAAGTTGAGTCGATCGTGGAGTTGAAGGAGAGAGGTTTGGAAGATATCTTGAAAATAGCTGATGATCTGCGGCTCAGAACACTGAAAGCTGTAATTGAAATATTGAGTCCTGTTCAAGCTGTCCATTTCTTAATTGCGCGGCTGCTGAGCTGCACCTGAGACTTCATGAATGGGGCAACCGGTGGGATGAAGATAAGCGCCACAATGATACATCTGCTGGCACTAATTACTAGAGGCAAAAACCTAAGTATTTGCTTTAATAAATTTATAAGTTCTACTTTATTATTTTATATTATAACACTTTAAGTATTTGGTGTTAATAAATTTATAAATTTTAACTCTTTACCTCATAATATAATACTTTTAGACCCTCATATATTTAAATTGAAGAAGATATCCCTCATTTAACATCAAGTTATAACGTTTTATTAGTTATATTAGTTAATTATTAACTCTGTTAGCTTACTGTTAATATCCGTTAGCATTCTATTGTAGAAATTATGAAATTTAAATTTAATTTGATTTATTAATTATGTTAACAAAATACTAAAAAATCACTAATAATCAATTAACAGAACTAATAAAACGTTATAACTTGACCTTAAGTAAGGATTATTTTCTTGAATTAAAATAAGTGAAGGGTTAAAAGTGCCATAATATAAGGTAAAGAGGTAAAATTTATAAATTTATTAAGGTAAAAAATTAAAAGTATCATAGTAAAATATTAAAAGTATCATAATATAAGATAATAAATTAAATCCTATAAATTCATTAAAATAAATGACTAAAAGTAAGTTTTAACCATTACTAACAAGCCTCAGTAATAAAAATAGCAAAAGGAAATATTCATTATTCTATTCTTCCATTGTTCTAGCTTAATTTATGGTTGATGCAATACGCTTGTTTGCCTGTTCATCAATCTGAATATTCCTTGCTCGTGATAAGCTTTCAAGTGCAGCCGAATGCAGTATCATTCACTTGTTTAACAACTTAACAGCTCTCTTATTCTTCCAATCTTTTTGTACCCCTAGTTTTTCTTTATTTGGATTCCTACGCCCAGTCTAATGGTAACATTATTTTTTTAGTGGGGATCATATTCCGTACATTACATGTTCAAACCTCAAATCACCTTTTCCATTCTTCCGTACACTAGAATATGTACTAATTGCCTTACTAAAAGAAAAAGGAGGCTATTTTTATTTTCAGCCCAGCATTTTGCAGTACGGTTTTATTGTCTCCCTCTTCTTGAGAAAGTCTGCTGTATCCCCGGGATACAGCAACGTGGTATCCCAACCTGATGGGAAAACACCACATCAATAATTTTTTCAGATTTCATCAATTTCAAACCCAAAAAACAACTGATGTGATGTTTTTCATTGAGTTGGGATACCACGTCTGCTGTATCCCGGGGATACAGCAGACTTTCTCCCTCTTCTCCAATTCTCAAAGGCCCATTTCCAATCTACTATATATATAAAATATTTTACAACCTATACGGTTTCAACCACAAGACTGTACTTTTTCTTTTTATCGTTATTTAAAAAAATAGTATCAAAATCTTTTAATTTTACTCTTATTAATATATGATTACTATATTCTTAAAAATAACACACCTCATCACAACTTCTCAATTTTTTTTATTAATAGAAATAAAAATATAATTTTAATAAACAATAATGGTGTTTTTATTAATTGTTATAATCTTTTCTTGAAATTTTTTATCTTATGTTCTAAAGGATAAGGATGTAATTATCATCCTTTCTAATTATTAATTTGTATGGATAAAATAAAAACTTATTTAAGTTTTATCAATTGTCCAATTAAATTATTTCACATAATATTAATATTAAAAATATAATTTATTTTCATAATTTTTTATACAAATTAATAATAAAAAATATAATAAATATTCTCTTAACTTCTCTCTTAAAGAAGGCCCCCTTTTTTTTTTCATTGATCGTGCCGTACCATACAAAAGTGTCTGGTGGTTAAGTGGTAGCCTTCAAAACCATCTTGGCCCAAGTGGTTCACCCCCAAGCCACAGCCATTACAGCTTCGGACCTTCCTAGGTCGGTTTGTCCAAATCCCACCTACAACTTGAATAAACTACCTCTTTCCCCCCCTAAATTCCCCTGTGTTCGAAAACCCAAAAAAAAAGGGGAAGATTGCTAATGACTTTCTTAGCCCTCGTACAAAAAACAAAAAATTCAGTATATAACATACCAATAATAAATAATTTTTTAAATAAAATTACTATACAAAAACTACGTATTAAAATTTCTAAAATTTCTAAAATTTTTATTAATGGTAATATTGCTTAACATT